AAAAAAGACACAAAGCATTAGCCCATGCACGTTGTTGTTGTTAGGTGTTGCTGAGTCAAGCATGATTCATAATAACCCAAAGAACAACAGATCTGAACCTTGCCCTATCCCATGCCATCCTCATAATCTCTTGAACTCATTTCTGTAGTTACTGCGTCAATCAAACTTACTCAGAGCCTTCTTGTCTTTTGCTGACTCTCCACCTTTTCAAAAATAATGTCCATCTCAAAGGAATAGCCTCTCCTAGCAAGACGCCCGAAGTATATGAGATGAAGCTTTGTCATATTTGACACCAAGGAGCACTCCAGATGAACTTTCTCTGAGATATATCTGTTTACTCTTTTGGAAAGCCATGGGATATTCAGTGTTCTTCTCCAATAACACAGCTCAAAGGCATCAATTCTTCTTCTGTAATCATTATTATTTATGCAGCTTTCAGGTGCATAACAAGTGATTTAAAAGACCATGGCCTACTACTAAGGAAGGCAGCCTGGTGCTTTCTCAAAAAGCGGAACATAGAAATTCCATATAACACAGCTATTCTACTGCTTGGAATACAACCTGAGAAAAGGAGAACTGAGGCACAAATGGAGACTTGTACACCTATATTCATAGCAGTGGAATTCACCATTGCAAAAACATGGAAACAGCCCAGATGTCCAATAACAATCAAATGGATTGAGAAATTATGGTACATCAACATGATGAAATACTACATTAGCACGCAGGAGCAATGATTTTTTATGTAGCACACAGGAGCAATGATTTTGTAAATTACTCTCTAACTTGGGAGGGACTGGAGAGCATTATGCTAAGTGAACTAACTCAGTTCCATAAGGACAAATACTGTATAAGATCATTATTGTAGAACAAGTACAAGGATCCAAGGAAGGGAGGCGGAAGCAAAGGGGTGAGGATAGGTGGGGGTGGGGTGATATTAATCATAGGGTCACACAATTTGATGGGTGGAGGAAGGGGAGAGTGAAGGAAATGGGAAATATCTAATGTTTAAAATAATACAGATGAACTCTGTAAATAAACCAGTATACAATAAATTAAAAAAAAAAAGACCATGGCCTGAATGAAGCAAGTGCACCTTAGTCTTCAAACTGACACCACTGATCCTCAATAATTTGAGAAGAGGTGCCTAACTGTGGATTTTCCCAGTAATATCCTGATTATAGGTACCAAGTGTGTTGATTGTGGATCCAAGTAAGATGAAGTTGCTGACAGTTTCATTCTTTTCTCCATCTATCATGATGTTGGCTAATGGGTAAAGTGGTGAGAATTTTTGCTTTCTTGACATTGAGATGCAATACATACTGAAGGTTGCATTCTTTGACCTTCTGCAGCAAACACTTTCAGTCCTCTTCAATTTCAGCAAGCAAGGTTGCGTCATCTGCATAATGTAGGTTACTGATGAGTCTTCCTCCAATCTTGATACCACATTCTTATTCAGAGTCTTGAATAATTTCCTGACTGAATAGGTATGGAGAGAGGAGACAAATTTGACACACATCTCTCTTATTTTTAAACCCTGTTATAGTGGTGTTCTTACGCACAGTAAGTTGAAAATAGGAAAAACTACATTGTTTTGTATAAGAATATATACACACACTTGGCCAAGGGTGGCCCACATCAGGTCCTCGTGGCTGACAGGACTGACAGGCCCCCAGCTCCCAGCTGGAAACAAAGGAGGATGCTTCAATGATTTAGATCCTCCCAGAAGAGCTGTGGGTGA